TATTAGTTTTTGTTTGTTTCTATTAAATTCTTTATATTTAATCTTTTAATGATATTAATTATTAAAATATATAATATAGGAATTAAAATCATGGCATTCAATAAAAATAATATTAACACTGAAAATGAGGCAAAAGAATACTCAAATTATCATGGGGGAGCTCTTAAACCTGAAGAAAAGGCTATCTTTGATAGTAATCTTTTAAAACCAAATGACACTTTGGATAAAACACTCCTTCAAGATACTGCTCAGCTATTAAACGATTGAAGAAAAGCCAGAGAAGAAATAAAGAAGGGAAAAATGGGTTTAAGTTCAGCTTCTCATACTTTATTGGCAGCCATCTTAAAAGAACAAAAGCTGAATCTATTCCTTATCAAGTAGTTAATGAATTACTTCCAAATCAACCAGTTGATAAAATTATTTCTCAATTTTATTTGCTGAATCTGATCCCGAATTTGATCAAAAACACAAAAAAGCAATACTTGAAGTTAAAGATTTGGAGGATAAAGAAAAGGTTGTTGACAAAGAAATTCGAGAACTAGAAAAAAATCATTAGAAAAGGAACAAACTAAGTTAGAAACTAACATTGGTATTGCAGTTGGTGCTTTAAAAAATGATCTTAGAGCTTCCTGGAGTAGGTGGTCGCAAGTTTTTTGAATTAATATCAAGAGAATTATATAAATCTACTACTGCTAATACTAATAGTTATGGATCATCAAAACTGGTTATAATGGTAATGGTAAACTTTATACTCATCCAATTTATTTATGTATGGATTTTCAAGGTCAAATTTGAACCATTCTCAAGATATAAACTTTTTGAATATACTGTATTAATATTGATTCTTCAGATTGTTCTTGGACTAAAGATGCTAATGGTAATAACCAAAAGAAAAAATTTAAACAAGTATTTACTCGAGTTGCAAATTTGCAACTTAATATTAAAACTTTGGTGATAAAAGTATGATGTCTGAAATAACTTATTATAATGAAAGATATAAAAGAAAAAATATAGAAACTCATCGATATATGAGTGATATCTTCTATGTCATGCATGCTCTCTTTCCCAAAGATAAAAATAGTCCTTTCATATACAAAAAGGGCAAAAGAGTTGTTTACAATTTAATGATACAGACAAGAGTATTGACACTCCTTATAAAGTGTATTGACGAGGAGCAGATGCCAGCATTTTTGGTAAGAATTATTCTCTTACTTTCCCAAGTATTTTGAGAGCTCCTTTTCCATGTGAAGAAAAACATTTAACTTGAGTGAATGGTCAAATTCCTGAATTCTTTTGACAAGTTTATAATTATAATAATGATGAAGCCATTCAATTTACTGCCTTTCATGAAGTATTAGGTCCTGATGCAAATACTATGGTAAAAATTCGTAAAGAACCAATAACTGAAAATTCATGGAGAATGCTTAGAGATTCATAACGTATTCATGAGCACTACTACTACTATTACGAATATATCATTCTAAGTCACATTCTTCGATTTTCCCGCCACATCAGCCGTTTCTTAGCTCACACAGTCAAATGTTCATTCTGTTGCAAGCATACCTCCAACTCGATGAAATATGAATATACGCGCTACACATTTATAAAACTGTTGTACTTCAATTTGGTACCTGTATCAATTCTGGACTGATATGGTATGCTTTACTAGTATTATTTCGTGTTTCTACTATTACTATGGCGTACGTGGCTGGCATTCACCGCATACATCATTGCATTATCTGAAACGAGAATTTTTCTCGTGACACAATATTCACTTTAATTTTTATTTCATCTCATTAATAGTGTACAGATACTTTACATACTTTTAATTAAACTACATGTGATCCAGCACATCCAATTCATTACATATCAAACGTAACGATCAACGTCTTGTGATCGCCGAACGGATTACATTGATCAATTGTCAGAACCTCACCCTCAATTAAACCAAAAAAGTCGTGTAATCTGTCATTAAATTACTGTAAATATCTGGAGAGCATACTCCACGACCACATTAATTCACACTCAAATTTTTCAATTGTCTCTTCCGCGCGGTTAATCAAATCCTCGCGCATTCCACTTTCAGTCACTACCATGTTAAAGTCTTTCAACGTACCTTTCAGAAACCTTAATACTACTTCTGTGTAACAATCTCCTTTACCAAAACACGGCACTAATTTCAGTTGTTCAATGGGTGGCCCCGATTTGCTGAGAAATATTTCCAACGTTTGCGGCGATATCTGCTGCCGAGCACCTTTTATAGTAAGATGTCTAAGATTTGGAAACTCTTGTATGGAAAGCGCCAAAAACAGCCAATCCATGTCTGCCACTGGCCCGGAAATTTCTAACGACTTCATGTGATGATGCTCAAGTAGATATTTAAGAAGCAGCGGTGTGTCCTCTGACTCGATAACTGCGCCAAAATGAGAAACTTTGGGGCAGAGCACGTTGACAAGTTCGATCAGATAACTACACGACTCTGCCTCACCCAGATTAACCGACTCCAATGTGTTACCGCAGTTACTTAACATTGACTCTACTAGACTCGAGGGCACTCTTGTATCACAGAAATCTAGTGAAGTTAGACAAGGATAGCGTCCATGCGCTAACGAGTCGAGTAGTTCGGCCGTCACATTCCTACAGGCATGAAACTTTATACTCCGCAATTGAGTGGTAGACGAGAGAATCTTCAATGGTTTCCACGATCGGAAGCTGACCCCTATAAAATGAAGAGACTGTAACGTAGACGAGTGATGCTCCAGCGCTTCTACTATAGATGTACAATCACGACCAGTCCACCCCAACTCAAAGTGAACCAATTTACGTTGGCCTCTAATGAGCGTGATCAAGCTCTCTCCGACTCGAGTATCATCCCAACTGGTCAACGGAAGACGATATACGCGGACCGTCGTCAGTTTTGATGTTGCGTTGGTCAGCGCCTGGAGCAGTTCGGCTGATGGCGCATTCGCTCTCCACTCAAACTCTGTCAGAGTAGATAATCCATGACTGTCGGCTATGTATGCTTTAATTCGGCGATATGGATCAGCGAATCCATCAAGATCAATGTCCAATTGAACGCAAAGCGTCTTTAGTCGATGACAATTGTTGAGAAGTAGTTGACACATTGTGCCAGCAAATTCAGTAAGCCCACCCAATGCATCGTCTTTAATTTCTTCTTTGAAAGAATGTGATGTTCTCATTGTTATCTGTTCTGTGAATTTACTGAGAACCTTGTCCAACTTGATTTTTACGTTCCTCACAGTCTTCTTTTTCTTCTTGTATGCAAGCCCTTGCAATACAGCTCGACATAGATCTCTGACGTGTAACTCTTCTATAAACGATAAATAGTCAAACAAGGGTCGCTCTTTTCGCTTTTTTAGTTTCATAAGTAAATGAGAAGAATTTTCGTGACCTAGACAAACTAGACACATGCGGAGTAATTTGAATGGTTCACGCCGAGGAGTGTCGGGTGATTTGTGTTTCTTTTTTGTTTTCAGATATAGCAATACAAAAGGTCGAGACCATAGAACAGATATAGCGGCCCTGCACCAATGTCTGTTAACTAATATACATGAGTATAATGATTGTCTTTCGTCTGCAAGGTAAGAGAATATGTTGAATAGACATTCGGTTGGAAGGTGGAGAGATTTGTGTTCTTCAGTTTGTACGCCGGCGGAAAGACTTCTGTCTTTGACCGGATTCTTGTTGATTCGTGTGCAGCTACGTATTAGTTTTCCTTCCCTTGGAACGGTCATTCCAATATTAGTTAAAATGAATTAATTTAAGTAGGTTGGGAGGAAAGGATTTCCGACTGCGGCAGAGTCGGTAAAGAGAGAGGGAACAAGAAATGAATAGGGAAAGGGTGGTGGGCGAGTGACAGACAAAGGAAGGGAATATGGTTCATTATTTATTACAGGATTTGTCAGATGTCGTACAGTACAGTGAACACAAAGAACAGAGGGGAGACGAACTGCAGACATGACTTCGGAGTCGACAATTCCGTAAAGAATTTGTCGGTTGCTTTTCTAAGGGGGGAGGGAGAAAAAAAAAAGGAAGAAAAGATGTATGCGTTCGTGATGGGAGATGACATGAGTGTGTACAATAAAGTCGGATGATTGCATTAAATGTTCTTTAATTGATTAATTCGTATTGTTAAGGAGGCAATTCATAACTTTGTGACAATCTCAATTGAGTATCGTGTTACCAGAGACACAAGATAACAATGAGCCACAGAATGATATACGATGCACGTTATGGAATATCGTTCAACCTTTGTTTAATGATATTATGGCTTGGACAAGCACCAATGAATGCGGTCCCTCATTAAAATGTTGGAGAAACCAAAGCAGGCAAATTATGGAAGACGGAGCGCATCGGATGTTAACGGGTTGTTACCGCTATACAGGTAATGAGGCAGGATCAAAGCTGTGAAAAGCTCCCTCCCACCTTTTTTTGAAATGCGCAGAGTATGTGGTGAGTAAAGTATGCTGGATGTTGTAATATTAATATACAGGGCTTGTGCCATCAAGAGTAGGACGAAAATAAACGAACTTTGGGATATTAACAAATATTACCTTCTTGTCGTACAGATTCAATTTATGAAACTTTAACGAATAGATCTTAGTCCTAATTTGTAGTGGGGGTCCTAATGCTATCTCTAAAGATTAACATGAAATCTTTCGAAAAGTATACTGATTCAAACAATACACCTGTATGTAATATGCAGGTTGACGCTGTGTACAGTATTACAGGGTTCAAGATCTCCGAATGCATTTTTTCCTACCACTACATGTAAATGGAATTATATAGCATTTATCTCAGACTATGCTCTACATTATTTTCAAAACAGAAGCATTAATTTTGTATTCTTTAACCAATTGTGTATGTCTTTATCCTATCGAGTGTAAAGAAATTTTATAAAAACTAATTATATGCCAATCACTTTTCGTGTTTAGCGCAATGGCTTATCATTAAATCATAAGTAATTGTTATGGAGACAACAGTTTTGTCATAACGTTGAACTTGTCATTACATATTACAAGATTGAAAGAATTGACCGGCCTTTGATTTATCTGATTGAACAAAATACAAAATTTATAACGCGTCTGCCAATATCAAAATAAAACAGAACCACGATCATTTACATGCTTGAAACATCACACAGGAAGCAATCTTAGCACTGGGCAAAACTCACGGGGGGGGATCCATCTGAAGCAGGATGTAATTAATGGTAACGATGCTGTGTCATACGTTTCTAATGTATGATTATTTTAGTACCCGTGATACATCAATGTTGTACTGGATATGATAAAACATTGATTATGATGCAATGCAACACTCGTGACCATAACAGCTTTATTTATAGCAAGTTTTACAAATACATCAAAACCGCAATGTCACCCGCACATAATTTTTATCATTCACTGACACTAGTCATCGGATCAATAAGGAAAGGATCCTGCTGCTTATACAGCACGTGTGTAAGTATTATAAACTAAAATACTAGTACGCGGATAACCACATCCTTCGAGCTTGTTTAGAAATTGACGATTTGCTATGACGAGTGCTTCTTTGTGTTCCTGAACCGACATGTCTTGTTCACTTTTATATACACATAAACTTGTCGAGTATTTAGATACCAAGAATTTCTGTAATTGCTAAATCTAAATGTACCAATTACGTCGCCAGTCTAACGACAATTGCATGTGGGTAACACTGCATGATGAGTAAAAAATGTAACAGTGATTTCCATATTCGTAGAATGGCACAAATTAAAAACCAGGTCATAGTCAATGTTAAAAACACAGCCTTGCTTACAAGCCAAGAGTTGTACGCACGTAGAAAAGTTGGCCAAGTGACAATCTTATCTTTTACAAGACAACTAAATTGCTCATCTCCAGTTGGAACAACGCTTTGCAAGTCCTTTATAACTTTTACTCAAACCAAAAAAAAAACCAATGATATATTGACCTTGAGACTTACGGCAAGTTTATTCCTGCTAAATTGAAACTAAATATGTTGAGATAAATTAGTTAAACAGGGTTTGCAACTCACAATGTCTTACTGACTGTGATCTTTGACTATTATTTAAACCTCGAGTGTTACCATTATTGCTATCAGCAGCAATTAACAGTTTCTCTGTTTTCTCGATACGATGATTATTGAATCCCTTTTCAAATATGCGTTTATTCGAGTGCAAGAAAACTACTAGCAATTCTAAGAGTTTATTATCGAAAAACGTTTATTTATCTGAACTGGTATTCCCCAGTCACGATTTGGGACCTCACTTTTAATCGTATTTGACATTCCAATTCTATAACAGTGAAACAATTTTTTTCACTTATTCCTTACGCAACTGAGTATTTATGAATTGACGGATGTTAGCGAAAGAAATGCAGCAGCAGAAAAGACATCGATAAATTTCCATAAAACGTAACAATGTCTCTTTTCCAAGATTGCATTATCAATATACCCCATCGTTGACATGCTCACTACATAGAATCATACATGACAAGTTAAAATAATTAGAGTTGTTGGTATCAATGCAGGTTCTTTAGCAATGACATAGTCTATGTCTTAATTATGACAGCTCTACACTTTCATATGTAGAAATAATAAACTTGTCAAGTGAAGAACATGCTAGAAATTTGCCATCTCGCAAATGTTGAGTGTGTAAAAAATTATAAACCCGTGTTAGGAGCCCTCATTCTACTTGTTCACTAAGACATCAGTATAGAGTATGAACCTGACACTGTTTAAAACCAATGACTGGGACCTCTGTCAATCCGTTAATCTATAACTTTTTTTTTCATCCGGCTATTAATACGCTTGCGAAAGTATCTAGCTGCAAGCTAGGCTGCTCCAACAAAAAAATTGTGGTATATAAATATGCTTGTATTAAATATGAATTAATGAAGACGACATTACAAAGAAAAGTTATCTTGGATAAATAATAACATCTTATCGCTGTCAGGATATTAGTAATCTTAATATCAAAATTTGTAAATGCGTAGAATATAACGTTCTTATATTCATAATAAAACCCTAACACATAACAAAGCAAAACGCACAATAAAACTCATTTTTAATGTTCAGTTGAACACTTGGCATAATTGGCATTCATAGAGACATGAAGGATCTCTCCTTGCACGAAAAGTACGTGTTAAGCCTTACTATTATTACCTGGTTGCGTTGAAATTGATAGAAATGAAATATTTTATTCACGGATTAATAAGATATGGTTAGATTACAAATGAATGTTTACAGTATCAATGTGTCAACGAGTAATTCTTATCCCGTAAAAATGCTACCGCTTAGAAAAAAATATGTCGTTACAGTTGAATCACGCTCATATTACACTACCGCCTTAAAAAGAACAATGGCTTACAATCGAGTCATGTTCATATTACACTACCCGTCTTAAAAAAAACAATATGTTGTTACAAGTAGAGTCATACTCATATTACACTACGGGAGCTCTATTTCTCCTTCTTCCCCATCTCCAAGGACCCAATCCGAATCTTCTTTTCGCTGCCGGGTCGTAATATCCAAATTTATACGTCCTGAAGTAGTGCCATTGCACTATCGTTCCCAGAAGGAAGAGTACGATCATTCCGATCAACATTCCTACTACTCTCCCGCTTACACGATATTCAAGGGTATCCTTGTTAACATTTTGCATTGAGCTGAACGTCTCGGTAAAGCCAGTCCTTGCAAACATATCGATACCCAGTATGATCGAGAATGCTCCGATGAATGCAGTGCCCAGTATGATCGCCAGGTTGGGGAAACATACAGTGAAAACAATACCAGCGATTATAAATGCTATGATGAAAACGATTCGGCCGGCGCGCGAGTGTATTAGGCCTCCACTTCCGAATGAGAGTATGAACAAGGCCAAGGCATAGCCAGCTACTCCTCCGAGAACCCATACCACAAGTGTAGAGAAACACAAAAACAGCGCTCCGAACAGCAGACCGACGACAATAGATACCACAACAAGTATTGCTTCTGTTACCGCTTCAGATCCTGCGTAACCACCATCTGGTTCTGCATTTAATAATATGATCCAAGCTATCACGGCTATTTAAAAAAAGTTTCCGTAAAATTATTTACGTTAGTACGATTTTTCGGTTGGGAAATATTGAACTGCCCATTCCTATAATTATTCAAAACTTACCCCCAACGTAAAAGCCAAGAATGAACATGCTGATTCTAAAGTATCTTCTGCCAAAGAAACAGTAGAAAATTCCTACAGCGATTAATATTATTCCCATAACCACTCGGCCAGCAGTGAGCTTCGTGTCTTTATGATAAAGTAAAGGCAAAAAACCGTTAATATCCACCAGATTAACGCATTAGTTGGACAAGTGATAATAAATCGTTGTAAATGCATACTTTGGGGAGTAACATCAAACGGCGGCGGCCGCGGTGCCGCAAACACGGTAGAGGCGAGTTGATAGAGACATAGGAGTAATGTTAATCGGAGTAGCTGTAACTTTGATGAAAACATCGCAGCCATTTACAACTTGATTATGAGATGCGTCGTGATAAAGAACCCGATTAAATTTCTGGGATGCCTGATCTTAATTCGATCCAAAAGGCCCTTATATATTTCTTTGCAGGGCGGATTTCTATTTTAGCAGCAACCTACACATATTTAGCCAGCTGGGAAGGTCCCCGTTGATCCCTTGGCAAAGAGCTTGGTTACGCCTATGACATGACGGATAGTGTGTGACACTAACTTTTGAAGCCAAGGAAACAATAATTATAATTAGATAGAGTTTGTCAAGTAAATCAAGCATTCATAATACGTTATTGCGAGAATATTATTCCTAAGATATCGATTGCAGCTGTTCTAAATATGTTGAAAGCCAAGAACTTCATTACCTTATTTATCAAGCCTTTCTTGTACTGATCTTCATCATTGCGAGTTTCTGTCCAAAGCGGTATTGTAAGGGCGTCAGACTCGATTCTGGGACATTTCCTTTGTTGATGCACTCGAAACGAAGCATCGTCACCGAATAAAAATCTCGATGACATCAATACATACAAATAATAACGACATATAGTTACACAAAACGCCGTCGAGTTAAGGGGAATGTTTTCAGACGAAAACGGTTACATTGTTTCTTTACTGTTCTGAAAATTTTCGTCATCATGACATTCACAAGCAGGAATAACATTGTTGATAGGAAACAAATGCGTAACTAGTTGTATTGATAATGATGTGAAATCGTATGTAAAAGTCGTAAGGCCTCATTGTACATGTGTTACTCGTTTTTACGCAGCTATGTAATAGCTTTAGAATATTCGATCTGCTATTACATCAATTGTTTGCTTTACTATGATGCAATATAACAGAGAAAGTAAAAGTAAAGTAGCAGTGTACGGTAATCCTACCTGCGTTGTTGATGGCTGCAACCCGTGTGAGGTGAAAAAAAAAGTGATAAGAGAAAGAGCAAGAAGAATATAAAGCTCGATTTTTACAGGTTTTAAAACCTTTCGCACATTGTGAAATAGTGAAACTTTTGAGCATAATGGTAAGGGTATGCATTATTAGTGTGTGTTCTAGGAATGGAGTAACCTTTTATGTATATTTGAGGCTTATTAATTGCAGGGTTTTCGATGTTGATCGTACATTCATTATTCCATAATTTGCGGTTGTTACGCCTTCTGTTCGTAATTGGTAAAACCAGACAGAAAGCCTTATTCTTATTCAGCGTCATCAAGATCTCTTAAAATTAATCCAATCAACTTGTTCTCTTGCTTTGTCTAAGAATGCGTGCGCCTTTTACACGAACCATGATAAAATCTTTTGTGCCCATCGTAAGCGTTTCGCCTTATCAGGTGGCTTGTATTTCACTTTTTCTTTCGAGCATATTCTAAATGTTAATAGACATCACAAATATTCGTCCTTTTACTCTTAAATTTGACACGTCATAATGGTTGATAATGCTACCAGTTAATGCATGATTTTTGAAAATGCATTCAACTATTTTATCAATTCACTGTGATATAATTCTTTGTATTTCCACAAACACGCATTCTTATCAGAAAGTAACGATCAACTCTAATACTAACGTATAGACATACATTTTCTGACAAAAAAACGTATTGCAATTATATTAAAGTTTGTTGCACCAGATCGCTTTTTAAAACATTATTACTTGTCCATCCATTTTCTTTCAGCTGGGCTATAAACAAAATTGCTTGTTTCTCAGGTTTCGATAAACTGGATCAACTTTGCGTAAATAAACTATTATGATCATAACAACCTAATTTCAATAGAAATATTTTCTTGTTGACAGTAAACTTATAACACTATTTCCGTTTCTATGTTAATAACGGGAAATTTTGTCTATTGATCTGGTAAACTGTGTTTATTGGGGAGTTACTTGGTTTGCCAGAACATTTATTATTTTTTAATCAGTGAATATTTGCCTGAAAATTGAGTCCATCATTGATTGTATAGATCTAGTTGGTTATCGTCAGCAACTTTTTATATATTTATTTCATTATCGATGTTTTTTTTTTTTTTCAACTGTTTTGAATGTGTTAAGCCTAACATTATCTTGCGAGCATGCAGCCAACATTATTAAGATAATAAATAAACGATACTGACGAATATCATTACCTGTGCACTTTTTTGCTATGATAATTTGTCTTTTGATCGAACAATGAACCGAACAAATCTTGTATGTCACTTGCAAAAAGAAAAACAATTTGCTGGTTGAGGAAACACCATGTTGTAGTTTGATATTCTTCGCTATCGCTCTTGTCCGTACAACAGAAAACATGTACATTTTTTCTCGTGTCGCTCCACCTGTTAATGTTTTCTACTCAACTGCTTGTCTCGTTGATGGTTCAGATATTTGGTACTTCCGTACATATTCAGCGAACATATTAAACATGGTTAGTAAGACACAAGAGTTATTGTTATACAAACCATGAAAATGCATTTAAAGTGATTCGACATTGGATAAAGGATTTTGCGAGCAAATTATTTGTTGCTCCAGCACGTCGTATCTCTCTAAACACAATTAGATTACAGTCATACCTTTTCACAAACTGATAGTAAAATGTTTTTGATCTTTTCTATATTTGTTTGAGGGACTATTATACTTTATTGGTGAAAGAAATTAAGCCTTTGCACAAACTGGACGTCCGAAATTTAAGAAAACTGTTGCTTTTCAAATGCCTAAAACTCAAAACTTTTTTAGTTGATTAAAAATTTTAAACCGTAACTTTATTCTACTTCATCTGCTCTATTATTCTTGCGGATTAGTTTTTCTCTAAACCCTCTAATATAAAAGCCTTAGGATTTTGAAAGTTAGGTATTTTATTTCGGTCTTTAGGTGTCTTGCACCATATTGCTTATCATGTGACGTATTTTGATAATAATAATTCTTCTGTTCTTCAAATCTTGTTCGATAGGGTCATTTAATTCACTATACCTATTAGCAAACTCCAATCCACCAATATATAACTCAAATCTATCAGCAGCTGTCTCGCGTGGATTGCAAGTCCGCCATCGCTAATACTAATATATCAACAAATAGACTGAAATCACAGGATATGCCCTATTCACTCGGGAGATTGATTGACAATTTGATTACCAACATGTCAAGCCGTTTCAACTTTGTTCATCGTAAAGGTATCTTCTTTATACCCTCTCAACACGTTTTAATTTTAACAGCTTTCACATATATATTATATACAATCAAATCTCTTTATACCGATACGAGTAGCACCGCCATTTACATCGGTATAACGAGTTTACCGGTATAATCAGAGGCCCTCTTTATAATAATATTGTTTATGAAAACCTCATTACATCGGTATAACAAATAAATAATAATTATATCTATTTTGAAATAAGGATTTTTATTTCATCACATACTTATGAGTTAATAAAACTATCCATCGTTGATTGTTTCTAAGCCCACAATTGACTCTGCACTTTACGCAATTCTAATATCATTTTAACATCAAAAGCAAAATCCTGGGAGGATTTACCAGAAATTCTATTGCGCTACTAACACCCCCAACGCTCCTTTAACCGAATTCAAGAAACAAACCAATCAACACAAATTCACGTGAATCCTACATATATAATAACTGAGACAAGTTGATTGGTCAATTTTGGTGTTGCACAATAATATCGCAGAGAAAAACACGAATTAACCGTTCCGAAGATTGCATCGGTAGAAAATAATAAGACTGGTTTGGGTAAACGAAATTTCATCGGTATACGCAGTTATCGGTATAAGAATATCGGTATAAAGAGGTTTGACTGTATATTGGAACACAGTGCAAAACCACAACCTTAAGAAGCTCGCGAAAAAGAGTGGTGTGGGTAGGTAACTGGTAGGGTGAATATAGAAAGAGAGAGAAAGTCGTTTAAAAGGAAAGAGCGATGCTATTGTTATGTCTCTTATAATTTTGTAGCTCAAGAAAATCTCCCCATCATCTTTAAACTTGTCCTCCGTGAAATCGGCGAAGATAACGAAATGCCTGCCCTTCTGTTCGATTGGAACATGCAAGGCTTTAACGACACAGCCGTTGCAAATTGTCGTAATGGGGTCCCAAACCAAGATCGAGCTGCTATAATTGCAAACCTGATCGCACACGGGGCAACCGATTATGAGAACTTGAACGTTTTATTTGTCTTCCGGGACGGACATGCCATTGGGGGTTAGGGTGCTAATATCGAAGTAAAGTTACCATGATACTGTAGGAGCTACTCATTATTATCTGTGTTCTGGCTTCTTTAACATAATTTAATTCATCGTTCTTCTCTAAAGGGCTAGAAGACAACCAGGCGTTCCAAACGTTACCCATTCAATTCTCAGACTCGACAAGGCTGCACCAACTACGGGTAGAGTGGATATAGATATTGAAAACTACTCGATTGTTTGAAACTAAAACATTTCCCGTCACATCTCTCTCTCGACTACGCCAACTGTGATAAACATCTAAGGCTTCGTTTAGACAATGTTACGATAACTATCGCGAGGAACTTTTATTCACAACGAGGTGCTCAATGTTACGATAACACACACTACAGAATATTTCATACTGCAAATGATTTTGTCAATTGCTAATTCGTCTTCTATTAAAGGCTGGCTATACCGATTATTATAACAAACTTTTTACTGTTGCGCATTATGCCTACTTACCTCATGCCATACGCGTAATCGAATTGGGATTCTCTAGATTAGAATCTTGAAGACGCAGTATCACCTGAATCTATAACTGAAGAATTTATTACAGATTATGGTAAATATTATCGTATGAAATGGTTCGGAAACTACGAGATGCGGGCACTAATAATGAGACAGCAGTTGAAGCCATTATTCGTGAAGATTATAGAAATGATAGACTTACAACCGTTAACCAAGCTGAGATGCATCAAATTTGTCTGGAATTACCAAAGACTTGTACACCCGTTAAAGATATTGATGATCGAAATAGATATAAAGTCAATGATGTCAAAACATGCTTAAACTCGTCAGAATCGATACAATACTTAGTACCAAAAATGGGCTCGGGTTTTTGATAATACAGACGCGTCTCGTAGTGCTAAAAAATTTGGCTTAAAATCGGATAAAGCAAAACTTGGTTTATTAAATTCAGCATTTTCTGCAATCTATGAGATAAAGTTTAAAACTACTAATAACAAAAATACGCATTACCATCTAGTTGGAGCACTTAACAATGAGCATGCTCCCAAATTACCGGAATACCAAACAGGGGAAGGCTCTTTTATGAACATGGGGAAGATATACGATACAGTTACAGAAAACTATCACCTGATGAATGGTCTCTATGCCCAATACAAACACAGATTGTATTACAAAGCCATAATACTGTAATTCATTATTACCGCCAAAATTGCGCTGTTGAGAATCTATTTCGATTTAAAAATCATACAAGGGGCTTTTGTGCCGGCTTGAAAGAAACTTTATACTATATTGCACGGGAGGGGTTTTTTGTGTCATTTAATGATGCTAGCAAGACGCGAAAATCTACTCATTATCTTGAAGTTAGAAGCTCTTTTTGTCTCATTCGATAGTTCTGCGAGTGAAACTTGCTAATATGTCTGGGGCAACACTTAGTAATAGAAATAGTAGGTACCCCGCAAATTGTGTAAGGAAACTTGGCTATATTTTTCTCGTGGAGATTCCAATGTTTTGCACAACCAGTAGTTCGAGTGCATATTTTACCACAAACTGAACCATCGCTCTTTATATGTGGCAGGTAACGCGATCCATGTATTATTATTTTATGTTTATATTTTTCTTTCTTAATATTAATTTCAATTATGCTTAAAATCCGTAATAATTTAGACCGAGCCTAGATGACATCCAGAAATGCATAGTATATGTACGCAAAATTAATATTCAAACATTAGTTGTTTGAGAATGGCAGTGGTACCACAGCAACTAAATATTTTTGATGAATTACTAGAACAAATCTTATATTCTTTAGAACCCTCCTGCTTTGTTTGTTAATATCACTGCGGTGCTCCTATTCTATGGCGACGCATTGATTTTTTTACAGAAAAAGATTATCAGAGAAGTCCGTATGGTCGAAAGATGCCTCGAGCTCCTACTCGGCAATTGATAAACTTTAAAAAAGTCATGTGTGGAAAGATAAAGCCAACCTGTTGCGCCAAGATGGTATACCTCAGCTTAGATGATTTAAAATCTCAGATGCATTGATTAGTACGATTCTGCGCTCATGTCCGCACTCTTATTCTTGACCGAAGTAATGGTTTTACTAACATACCAATTATAGAAATTGCAAGATATTGCCCAAAGCTATTACATCTGAGTCTTAATTCATGTATATGTCTCATTAATCGATGTATCGCTGAAATTACTCGCTCGGCCCAAAAACTTGGACATCTTGAGCTTGGTGATTGTTCGATTAGTAATAAAGCTGTCGAGGAAATAGCCCGTAACTGTAATAATTTGAAATATCTTAGTTTGAAGGGTTGTAAAGGGATTAGTGAAAGAAGTGATGAAAAAACTTAATCCTAAAATTAAAATCGAATATTCTGATTATTCAGATAATAAATGGTCACGACATTTGGCATTTTTGCTGTAAAAGAAGGAAGCCTCAGACTGCTAATTAATTTCGAATTGAAAAAACAATCTCCATAGTATATAACCCAACAAAGTGAGTATAACTTATAACTGATACAATGTCAGCCGTCGCAACAAAAATCGTCAAAAAATACAATCTTACTCCAGAGATGAGTACATCCGATCTTAGTAAATATGCCTCTGAATTGCTCAACACATGAGAAATCGAAATTATTAATCAAATTTTGCTATTCATGGTTTGTAGACACTGATCATAGATTACTATGGTCGTCCTCGAGTGATGCGTCTACCGTATTAGTTCGAACGTTTATAAGTTGGGATTTATTTTAAAACGCATCTATACTTGGACGAATAATAATTATAATCGTCACCAAGATGTTGGTTGAAAAGTTTTAATTTTTTGCTCGAAAGGGAAAATTTTTTATCACAGTTGCCTCACTGTTCCTGATATCCAAATCAATTATTCCAGTCACCTATGAAATTGCAGATTTTTTATTTTTACTTGCTGATAGTGCAGGAGAAAAGTTTATCAACCTTTGTCACATGCATGTAGCAATGATGTGGTTAGACGGCGGATTAATAAATTGGCAACAGGGGAAATGTTAAAGGTAATGCTGAGAAAATCCCAATGAGGCAACAACATTGAAGAAGTAGTCAACGGAAACCCATATAACAGCATGAGAACTGAAATAGTATAAGAATTGTTATTATAATGGTGTCGAGTCAACAAACGCGGGACAGCAATCGATTGAGATTTCGCAGTAGAAATATAGTAGATTTTCACATTCTCAAAAGTAATGATACGAACAAAAAAGCAGAGATGCGATAATTCTCAAAGGTTGTTCAGAAACTTTTAACCCTTGAAACGGTCATGTCAAGAGAACATTTGTGACAACATTATTCACTATTCTTTGATACCAATCATTAGCACGTTTACTATTACAGAGTTTTTATTATAGCTTTGCTCTATTGCAATTGTAGATTACATAATAATAGAAACATTAGATTGAAGAAATCGAACAGGCCCACCTTGAAGATCTCGATGCACCACCGAAGAACACAATCAAGAATACGGAAATTTCGGAAATACTATATATCCGATTAAGCGAGAGTCAAATATGTATGGTCCATCCCCTGAATTTTGTATGGTAATACATAGCAGAAATTGTAAGATCATCTAATCTCTGACTCGATACAAAATCTTGAACGTGATTATTACCTTTTTTGTTCTGTGCTAACTGATTTCCAAAACGTATTGGCTCGATGAATTCCCTTTGTGTTGTTAAATTCCTGCTTCGATACTTGCAATTCACATCACGCCACTACCATTAAAAATTCAGTTACAAAGCTTATATAGAGCGAAATAAACTTTGCGGTCCAACCGTAACTATTGCTTATTATTATGTTATGATTGTATGATTATGCTCATTTGGACTGAACCTTAACAAAAATTTTCTTATTCAATTTATTCCCGATGTTTCATATGTGCAAATTTCTTATTTAGTGTCTAATCTTAAACTAGGTAAAAATCACTAACACTGGCAAGTACTTATTGTTTTATCATAATTGTTGGATGCGTGTGTTATTATTCCTTATCGATATAGTAATTATTAACGTCAACCAACTATCCATCCCATTGTTGTCTTTCCTGTATCTACATTATCACCAATAAGGAAAGCCTTTTTTATGCAACCAGACCAGTTACCAATAAACGCAACACAACTCATGCGTGGTAAACCCTGGATTCGAATATGACACCAAGACTTTTTCGAAGGTGAGAGTATTTTCAAATATTCCCAAGGCTTTTCGATTTCGCTTTTCTCCCAATTGTCACCAACTGCACCACCAATTATAGCAATGCGGTCTCTTATGCAAAACATTGCAGCACCAACACGTCGGCCAGGGCTTTGTTTTTGTCCATCGGTGAAAACCCATTCAGGTGGAAGTTTCAGCGGTGTCCACGCATAAACCATCGAAGAGATATATCTTAACCATTTATGATTTTGTATGTCATACGCCCACACATTGCTATCATTATGTAATTCATTTTTCTCTTCTGAGACAATCCGTTGACCTCCGTAAATATAAAGTTTACCGCGGACTTTCAAGGCGCAATGCAAGGATCTTGCATATGGAAGATTGGACATTGAATTGTGAATTGTCCAAACGCTATTTGCAAGATTGTACGTTGCAAAATCTTTACTATTATACGAACCGTCTGTAAAAATAAAATTATGTTAATTTGAATTTTATTACAATCGAAAATTATTGACATCGATAATACCGTCAGTCGCACATAGACCGCCGTAGACCGCTAGATGGTTATGATCGATTGCGCTAAGCGAATGCATCGAACGAGAAGAAGGAATCGTTCCCGTCTGCATTAAAACATGCAGTTGTACATCGCGTACATCAAACTCGTACAAAACGTTTGTTGGTTTTCCACTGAGCAGATCTATTCCACCATGGATATATATTTTATTCGAAATCGATGATGTTGCCGGATATTTGACAGGTCTATATAAATCAGACACTTTAATTGAGACGCTGACCCATTTAGGATTTTTCACGTTCAGATCTATATTCCAAGCTGTCGGGTTTTCGATAGAAAGAACGAGTACGTATAATGTTGATCCAATCAAAACAGCGTTGCGATAGTAAAGTCCAATCTCGGCGGCTCTGTCGTCGGAAATGTTATATGATACACCATGCCATTTTGGAAAAATTAAACCGTACCGCTTCGAACTCACAATTTGATAAAGTAAGTTGCACGTTCGGGATAAGGTAACCAAATCCTGTGTATCCAGATACTCAAGAATAATTTCGATTATCTCAGTCGATATTGATAAGAGTGTAACCATAATTACCTGGAAAAAAATAAAAATTACCACCCCTTTCTTAACAAATACCTAAACTAGAAAATGAATAAAATGAGTGAAAAATTTTTGAAGCTTGAGGGTTTTGTGGTTATGATCACTACGTAATTGGAGAATGTGGTGGGTGAAGGAAGTAACTGTATTTATAAGACATTAATTGTTCCACAAGATTATTCCAAAATTTAACCGCGTTAGATAATCCCATTTCTTTTTCCTATCACGGTTGTTTACGAACTTTTTTGAACAAATGGCGTAAATTTATTGTCAGGTTTGTCCAATTACAGTGACGCGTAGACATTATGAGAATCTTGGAGCAAGACGGGTCTTCTTTTAGTAGGTATGGTTAAACGCGGTGTTCGATCGCGCATGCTAGTTGAACAAGACCTGACGTAAAGCAAAGTTGTAGAGTTGCCGTAAAGTTAAACTAACATTAGTTTGCCGGTAATATTACTATTATCTCGCAAAATAAAAATTTTAGAATTAAAAATAATAAAATTTTTTAATATATATGTATATATAGATTTCCCTTTTTTTTTTCACCTCAGTTTCACAAAAAAAAACAGAAACAGTAAGTATATTAAAGCGAGTTGTACAGAACGTTAACACTAGAAATGACAAAAAATTTTTTGGTGGAAAACCGTCTTATCGAGGTTATACATTGTTTATTTCTATTCTCATCTAACTGGTTTCGAGTGTTATATATGCGTTATTCGACATGTAGTTTGCGCTTATTATCTTGCAAAGAGGTTTTTATAAATAAAGATGAGTTTATGAGATGCTTGGAAAAAACAAACAAACAAACTTTGTGTTGACGCTCAGTGCAAAGCGTATTAGAGTACATATACAACATTAATTTCTTATTTTATTAGTTCGCATACTTTTATAGCCAACATTGGAAAGTATTGTTGTCATCACGCCACCGAGGACAGTTACACTATTGGAAGGGGGCAGTTACACCATTGGGAAAACTATTCCCCATTTTTGAAAAAAGAAAAGCAAAAAATTTTAAATGGATAGCGGTGGAATTTTACTGATTATCTTAACCGTTTGTTGATTACACAGAAAATTTATGAGAATAAAGATTGATGATCGTTTCGATTTAAAGTTAGAGTCTATGCAATGTAATGTACAACAAACTCGTAATTTTGAATGGCGTATCAGAAGGACACCATTGAACTCGAACAAAGCAGCATGGAATTCTGTCTGTCAATTCTACAAGTGTCTTATACCGAATTTTTGTAATATTACTCGTCCGTTTTTTGACTAGCAAATTTCATTGTTATTTCTTAGTTTGTAGGCCAAATCTTGACGAATTTACTCCTTACTTTTGTTGTGCATTTTTAAGAATATTGTTATTATGCTTTTTGCACTTTGACCATTAATAAATATTATTTACCATATTCTAAACTTTCAAACAAGCTACACATATTAGCAAAACGTAGCACATACGCAGAATAACACATCTTTAAAAAAATGGTTTGTAAAAGTTTATTATTATGTAAAATTTTTTAAAATTTACCTTATTGAGACTATGGCAGACTTTCATATTACTAGACAATATTTTTGTTTTACTTTATTCCGAATATAATAAGCTAAAAATTTCAACAAACCAAAGAGTAGTAAATTTTTAAAGATAACTACTCTGACACCTCGAGCTTGTGATATTCATGGATGTAATTTGCTTGCCTCTCATATTTACAATAAATTGACATGTTATAAATTTGACAATTGAACACAAGTTTATTGTAAATCGTTCTTTGCTTTATACTTTTGGTTTCTAATAGAATATGACTTGTCGAACTGAACATGTTACGTTTACACTACCGCGGATGACTTGTAATATCGATTACGTTAATATATAATATACTAAATTTATGCTTGACTCTGCAATTAAAAGTTGCTGTATGTACAAATTATCGCACAATTAACTATGGAGTTTTCTTTTGTTATACTCCAAAATTAAGCATACACAATGCACTAGCGAAGAAATCGATATCCAAAGTTGTTTTATTTTTGGAATATTTCACTTGCGACAGCGCCAAGCATACACTGCATTCAACGTTGCGGGTGATGCAGATACAACATCAAAAACTCATATTTCTACAACATGTAATGTGTTATTGGAATTGGAGATCAATTCGGTTATGGAAGAGTTTCTAATAATAACGACATATTAGTGAAAGCATATATACTCTGTTAATAATAACTTTCTGCGCAAATCTTGAGCGCAAAACAGCAATCTTTTTTATGTGTTTAAATTGTTTCAATGTTGCTACTTTCTGCGTATTAGAAATAATAATGTTAACAAGTCATTGCAAACTCTGTTTTATGCTGACAAACACCATAAACTATGTGTATCAAGGAATGAAGGCAATCGTTGCTGCTAACTTGATCTATGCTCTCACATTAGTTCCTAGTCACATGATTCGTATTTAATCGTTTGTGTCCCCAATATTATTACGCGTGTGGACCGCGCTCAGATATTACAAACAATATTAACTATTATTATTGCTTATACAAGCTCGACATGGAGTTTAGTGACTTTTATAAACATAGTTCTTACCTTACAAAGTTTTCACCTGATGGGCTTCACATAGCCACGGTTTATCAGAAGAGGCTTGCGGTTCGCGATTCTATTACTCTAAAAGTTCTCAACGTTAATCAAAGCGATACAGCTATAGAGCACGTCAATTGGTCGCCAGATTCTCATTTCTTCTTGGCAGCAAGTTATACAGCTGGTACTGTGTACATAGGATGTATTGGCGAGAATAACTGGTCAGCAGTCATAGAGGAAGGAACGGCTGGACTTAAACATGCAAGATGGACACCTGATGGGAGGGGTATCATGTGTTTTTCAGATTTCCGGGTAAACAAGTTTAATCGAACATGCAAACCGTTACGACAAACCAACACAGCTTATTGACGATAAATTGGTTGTTTTTTGCTCATGTTTAGCTACGTTTGACAATATGGTCACTTGCTACTGGTGATGTTTGTTACATGCAGAATCCAAAATACAATGAGAAAGGTGAGAACACCAACAAGACATTGAACTTGTGTAGATTCGAATTAGCTGATCTTTGTATAGGTTATAGTTTTCGTAAGGATGGGAGGTACTTTGCTCTCACAGAGCGACGGGAGGGGAAAGACTTTATAGGAATATATGATTGTGAAAATAAATGGAACTTAGTAAGGGTCTGTACCCAAATTTTCTCGTTTGAAGAACTATCTATCAAATTATCTCGATCTGTTGACTTTGGATGTGAAATTTGCATTAGCATTTTGCCGTCGACACTGTTGATCTCGATAACATTGCGTGGTCGCCCGATGGTCGTGTAATTGCCGTCTGGGATAATTGCATACAGGTGGGTGACTTCGCTTGCTGGTTATTTGTTATCCGATAATATTGTTCCGCGTTATTTATTGTATTGTTTAATATTTAGTACAAAGTTTTGATCTATACACCAGATGGTCGATGTCAAAAATCATATTGTGCATATGAAATGGGTTTAGGGGTGAAGACAGCCACTTGGTCACCTTCGAGTCAATTTCTGGCTGTTGGCAGTTATGATCAAAGGGTCTGTAGGAGCACAGTTGATCCTTTTTTTTCTTTTTCGTTGGCACTATAATCGTTCTCTGTTATCTAATATGGTTCCTTCTGTAGCTACGCTTTCTCGGTAACTACACATGGGAACCAGTGATAGAATTTTATCACGCCGGGGCTGTCAATGTTGAAGGCTTGGTAAGCATTTCTAATGTACAATAATCATATATATTAGTAGCATGACTGATATGGCTCCAAACCAAAGACAATACTAAGAGAGGATGTTGAAATGCCTGCACGTGAATACGAAAAACCAATAGTTACATGTGAGTGCAAGCATATGCAAAGTAATATGATTATTAACCCGCGTATGATAATAACCCGAAATTCTCATGCCCGTTTATTAGATATTAAAGAGGAACAACCATATGAACTGCCAGCCAATCGCGCGGGTCCAGAGAAAGGACAACCAAGAATAGGTGTCGGCACTTGTAAATTCAATGCGGATGGAACCCTGCTGGCATCACGCAATGGCAAGTCCGTACATCATGACGCATCTGTCGCTAGCCAGTAACCCTTTCACTAACCTATTATTCTTTTCTAGACAATATGCCGCAGTGTGTGTGGATATGGGATATCTGTAACATACAACCCATCGTATTAATCGTGCAATTAAAACCGGTCAAACAATTCCTGTGGAATCCAATTGATCCTGACCAGTTGGCCATTTGCAGTGGATCCAATACTCTGTGTTTTTGGTCCGCTCATGAAATGGATGTTTGTCATGTCGACGTACCCAACGGTGAGTACTATTTTCACATTTATAAATATTCTTAAATCAACTCGACAACTGCAGATGATTTATTCTGCCTTTTTTTTACAGCAACTTTCTGTGTAAACAACATCCGATGGCGTCCAGATGGGAAATCCTTATTGATAATGGATAAAAATATGTTTTCTACAGCTAATTTCCAGTGTGAAGAGGATGAGGCAGGGGAGCAAGATTTAGCTTCAATCATTCATTCTTCATCTTCATCTTCTAATATCAAATAAAGCTCGCTCAATAGCCGTCGATACTACTTACAATACTTTCAATATCCCATTTTCATCATACGCCCAGTCCCCCTCTTCGCTGTTTCTAATACATTAACGGCAAGTTGAACAAACCAATATCAAAAGATTACTACAGATATACTGAAACTATGTGGGAGATGTTCATTTAAAAAGCTGCTGAAGTGTGACGCCCGGTGCTAATTAAGGAGTCGAGAAGCAATTTATTGTTGATTCTTACAGTGAAAGCTAATTTTTGTCGTATACTGTACATAGTCAAACTCGATAAAATAAAGTCACTTTAAGATAAAATCACTCTAAGATAAAAAACTTACCTGCCCCGAATTTTTAATATTATACATATAATCCTCGATAAAATAAAACCTCTATAGTTTAAACCATGACCCCCAGCCCGTCGACTTTATTATATCGAGTTTGACTATGTATCGTTTACACTGAACGCGTTTCTGTAATAACATTTCTTACACTATTCGAGTATATCTTGATCTCATAAACGATGTTTCATCAGTTTGTCATTTCTAACACGAACAACAATATCCACTCTCTGGAATGCCTTTACCACGAGGGCTTTCGGACATAACCCCACCCCCTCTCACTCAGACATC